TTGACTTCCTGCTGAGCCTGGCAGCACCGGAAGGGGCCTTTTTAGCCTTTTCTGGTTTGGGGGATCCTTTCTTGGCTTTACCCGGCTTTGCCACCGTAGCCACGGCCTTGGCATCTTTCCTAGGTGCCTTCTCCTTGGCTGTGCCTGGCTTGGGGATGGCCTGCTTCACCTGAGCGGGTTTCATGGATCCTGTTTTTGCCTCATTTGAACCGGGGGGGTCCTTCTTTGTCTTCCTGGGGTCCTTGAGGCTCTTCTCCTTGGTGGCCATAGCCGTGGATGTCTTTTTGGGATGGACTATCCGTTTTTTCTTGGCAACTAACTGGAGGGGAAGAGAATGGGGCATGGTCAAAAGCAGACGTCTTGGGCATCTCCCACCTCAGTACCCTGGGTGAAACTTCCGGGAAGTGGGGCCCAGTGCGGGGAGGGGGCACAAAGGTGGGGGCTCGGGGCATGAGGAGGAGATACACAGCCGGCTGAGTGGGTCTCTCTCGTGGGGGCCTAAGGCTCAGGAGTGACGTTGTTCCTGGGGTCCCCAGCAGCTAACATCCCAGCCGGGTGGCCCTCCCTCCACCCTGGGGGGCTTAGGCAGCTCCTTCAAGTTTAGTGAAAGTCAGGACTTAGTCCGCTCACTCCTGCGTCCTGAAATGTCAGAGGCCAGCTTTGGGGAGCTCATCTTGTGGACAGTGAACCCTGGATCCTGTCCTGTCGCCACGGCTACTCTTCAAGATGATGCGATGGGTCTGTGAAGCCCCCCCTGGACCCTGGTCTCTCCACTGAGGCCCGGGCCCCTCGCCATGCCACAGCCCAGCCTGTCTTCCTTGCCCTAGGCCCCCAGCGTTCCCACCTCCTCCAGGGAAGCAATCCTCTTCCACGGGGAGGGTGATCTTCAGGGAAAAGAGGGCCCCTACCCCACAGGCAGACCTTGCCCCTTCAGAGCCCAGCTCTAGTGGCAGCGCTGCCATCGCTCGCCAAGATCAGAAACCACCCTTCATTGCCAGCTGCAGGCGCACACAGCCCCAGCCCCAGCGGCCTCCCCTCCCCCAGAGCCCCTTCCTCCCTGGCTAACAGACTCAAGCCTCACCCCGCCCCATGTTCCCCGAGGTCCCTCTCTGCCACCTCCCACATCACCCTCCTCCCCCTGGTCCGGCTCTGGCAGAAGGAGCCACACAGTGACTGTTTTACAGAAAGGGAGCTGAGGCTTTGAGAGGGCGAGCGGCTTGCCGAAGTTACGCTGCTCCTGAGAGACAGAGCGAGGCTTCAGTCACAGGGATGGCCCTTCCAGCCCCTGGGCCCCCCACCTCCCATGCGGTGTGTGAGCGCCCGCTTCCTGGGCCCCCACTGCGATCGGATCGCAGCCCACGACAGTCCCTTTGCCCTGCCTACCGGCCTACCTGGCCTCAGAGTTCTGTGAGGGCGGGACTTCCTGTCACGAGTCACATGGTTACCGCAGGGGCTGGCACGTGGTAGGTTCAGAATGTTCCACCATGTTCCATGGTAACTATCAGACCCCCTGCTCTGCCCCAGACCTCAGGCAAGAAGCTGAGGTGTGCTGATCACAAGGGCCTCCATGCCTGGGTCCCTAGACTTCCCTGCTGGCTGCTGACAGTGCAGGGGCTTGGTTCGTCCCCAATCTGCCCTCAACTCTGGTTGTGAGTTAGCCAGCCAGGACCCTCTCCTTTGAAAGGGGAAGAAGTGGGGCCTCAGAAGGGGTCAGCGCTGCCCTGGGCTCAGAGCCAGAGGGAGCAGGGTGCAAACCCTGGTGCTGAGACCGAGAGCCAGGGCCTGGCTTCCCTCCTCCCCAGGGAGGAAGCCAGAGGCAGCTGGGTCTTGCAGGGAGGGCATCTCAGCCAAGACCCACAGCAAGGACAGGCTGAGAAGAGAGGGAGCCAGAGGAGACAGATGCCCGGCACAGGAACTGAAGCACATTCCCCGTCCCCCCCCCCAGCCCCTCCTACCCAGTGGGCGTACTTTGAACCTGCCAGTGGCCCCCCTGGCCTTGGAGTTGACGGGCCGGATGAGGAGGCCACGGTTGATACCCTTGGCCAGGGCCTCCTTCAGCAGGTTCTTGAGGCGGATGACGTTGACCGTTGGGTACTTCTGCAGGATGAACTGCTTGATGGCCACCACCGAGGTGCCCTGCCGCTGCTCACCCTCCTGCAGCGCCTCCAGCACCATACGCAGCACAGTGGGTTTGCGGCGCTGCGCTAGCACACCCAGGCTTGGACCTG